GCAAAACTCGGGACTCGGTTATGAATGCCTAGGATCCAATTTTTAAAAGAGCCATGTGCTCAACATGACAGGTGTATGCAGCACTGGCGGCATGGCCTCTAAATGCCATCATGCAGCCTCCAGGCAGTCCCGTATTCCCCCGTCAGGATACTGGCACTACTGTACTGCTGAAATGTCGCAAACTGGAGCTGAGAGTTTGATATAGTTTGGTACTTAAATCCTATGGCGCATGGATTCAGATTTTGATTCAGATTCCGGATTCGAATGCACTGATGTAAATTCGAAGACATTTTTTTCGGTCACTCTCGAACTCGATAGTTCGCCAACAAATTTGTTGGCGAACTATCGAGACTCCATTGCTGTAGAATTACCACTACTTAAAAGATTTCATTGGTTTCTGGCTAACCGTGCTGGACGACTTCGCCATCACCACATTTCTATCACGCCAAAAGAGTACAGAAAGTAATGACTCCAGCTTGTGTAGGTATCGGCGCTGAGGCTTTTGATGAGGCATGGGCCAAGTCATAGACTTACCCATGCCATAGGTAGTGGAGAAGTTTTTGGTAATGTGCATGCCATTGCCGCCTGCTGCCGCACCATATCCCCTACACAATAAAGGGTGATTCATCTGATATTTCGATAAAAAGGCTGTGATCTGTATAAAATGGCCTTTATTAACATATTTATTCATATTACAGATCTTTGAACTTCTGTACATTTTCATTTTCATGGTCCGTATTCACTGCCTAGCAAAACATTTGCACAACAGCCCCCTGAACATGAACGTGCTTCTCCAAAGTCCACTACGGCCGACGCCTGGCACGGCTGCTGGTGTCCTGCAAATGGTGCTAGCGAGCAAACGAGCTGTCGCTGCCTGCGCGGCGGCGGCGTCTCCGCGATGGTGTGAGCGGCCCCTCTACCGATTGGTCCCCACCATCTGGAGCCCATATGTGGGCCACGTGTGTTAATGGGGACACGCGGGCGGGGACGCACGGTCCCTGCCGAGCAGTCCACGTTCAGGCTCCGACGACGCGGCTCGACGCGAGCCGTGTCAGCGTTTGCGACGACGACAACGACCTCGGAGTGTACGACGCCGCCCTTCCAACCCCTCTCTTGCATTTGCCTTGCAACTCTTTGGCTAATAGGGAATCTTCCCTTTCAACGTCTCAAGTCGATGGTTCTCCGGAACACTAACGAACTCTTTCGCACGAACAAATGGTGTGTGTGTGACCGCGAAGCGCGGGGACGAAGGCCTGCGTCTCTGGTTCCCAGACCACAATGACTGTGTGTAAGACACCAGCCTAAATTTCCCGCAATTTTCAACAATGCTTGCCAGATGGCGCATGCTTGGCCTAGCCTTAGTGTACTACCCCGCACTATTAAAATTATCATTTCAAACGGAACATCATACAGTTTGCACGCAACAGTTTGACATACTCGCGCGACGCCAGTATAGCCTACTGGGGACAACATTGGACTGGAATCTATCCAAGATCCCAGATGTGCATGCATGATGACAATATTTGTGTCACTAATTGACCTTAATCTATGGTGAGCCCGTTCATAAATCGGTTTTGACTCTCTTACACCTATATATATATATATATATATATATATATATATATATATATATATATATATGTGTGTGTGTGTGTGTGTGTGTGTGTGTGTGTCTGCGTTTGTGTGTGCACGACATGTCGATAGGCCAGTAACCGTGTGATGCAGGACATTCTTGCAAAGGAAAGCTTCGATATGCGTGCATAGTTTTACTCCGACAGTGGTTGGGTTGCCCCATTGCCCAACATACACTCGCTGGGGCTGGACCCACATTCATATATGGAGACCTCGGTAAATAACACGCATTGCAGAGTAGGTGAGGCGTCAAATCTGCCCCCCTCCCCCCCCCCCCTGCAACTTCAGAAACCGCCACAGCTAGTGAAGCAAAGTTTGCAGGAGCATGTATGGGCACGTAAGAGGCCTAGGTTTGAGACTAGATGCTGCAGAGCATGCCTGCTCAGATTCAACCGATGTGTATTGGGATTCGACAGCGATTTTGGAAGTTCGAATCCTGATTTTCAGGATTTGAACCCCTAGTTTCAAGATACCAGGATTCTCAAGATCTGCACGGATCTATTCAGATCCGTCAAATCCAAACTCGTAGGTCTGTTATGCACCCACTTGCTTCATCCATGCCCGGAGAGCTTTCCAATCGACCCCAGCACCTTCTGGCCTTCACTGAGCACCTGGAAATATTTTGGACGGTTCTCATGTTCCATCTCCAGCTCCCACATCGCCAGTGGTGTAAGAGACTTAAAGCTGATTTATGAATAGGCTCACCATAGAATAAGGTCAATTAGTGAGACAGATCTTGTTATTATACATACACATCGGAGATCTTGGATAGATGTCAGTCAAATGTCGCCCTCAGTATGCCACACTGGCGTTTTGTTAACATCAGTGTCGCTGGCCTATATCACTTTCGGTGCCGCTGGCTTATATCACTGGCTTATATCACTTTCGGTGCCGCTGGACTTATATCACTGGCTTATATCACTTTCGGTGCCGCTGGCTTATATCACTGGCTTATATCACTTTCGGTGCCGCTGGCTTATATCACTGGCTTATATCACTTTCGCGCTCGTCTCGTCTTGCAGTTTCCGCAGCGTTATATCTTCAAAAAACCTTCGCTTGAAAAATTGCTAATACTGCTTTCCATTATCGATAGAGATGCAAACAGAAGACTGCTCATGGGTACATTTTTGATAGATGATCTTCCACAGCTGGGGTCAGAACCCACAAGCTTGAGAAGTAGCAATAAAGTGAAAATTGAATGTATGCAATTGCGAAAGTGGCTGGTTCCATATGGCACAGCACGGAATGATAATCAGTGGCATGAAACTTTGATAACGGTGTTTTAAGTTGAACGTCATGCCCATGCTCAGAGTTTAAAATAGTTTTTTTGGGTCTCGACTTTGTTTGTCACTTATGATAAAACACCGCCATCGAGATCAAATTCCCTCAAGGGATGTACCCAAGAGTTCGTCCAAGAGGTGCCAGGAGACACCCCCCCCCCCCCCCCCCCCCCCCCCGCCCCCCCCCCTGCCCCCCAAACATGTTGACATGAAACTTGTCAACGTCCACGTCCACGTCCACCATCGTGTCCTCATAACTCGTACCCAAAAGGGCCAAACGCTCGAATACCCCAGACGCTGAGGGGTCCCGCCCTCCACTCGTGCAAAATTTAACGCTCCGAACGCAACTGAGGATCTGTGAAAAAGGTAGCGTTCTCGAAGTAAATGGGCGCAAGTTTAACGGGGTCTAATTTTTTCGTTAATTTCTCGATGTTAACGAGTGTTAACCCGTTAACGACACATTTAACAAGCTCTTTACAAAATTGATGGTTTAACGCATTAGTGCCCACCTCTCTCTGAGTGTATCCACCATTGGTAACATGAGCTTTGAGATCAGCATAAGGCCTCCAGGCAATTGGCGCTACAAAACGCGGTTATTGTTTTGCCCGTGGGTCAGGAGGTCAGGGTCAGGCGAGAGGTCAGGTTAGTAAAGGTGCATATACCTCACGTTGTGACGAGCGCGTGCCGTTTTCAGGTTTAAATTCGATACATGATTGACAGAGCCATGTGTGACCGCGTTTTTACCAATAATTGTCTGGAAGCTATGCAGTAGCATTTTGAGCCTGATGCACATCCCGGACGTGGCCGCTTTTAAATTTGTGTGCCGTACATTATTGGTGGAGTAATGTGCGACCGCATCGTTGATCGCTAAATGCCTGGAGGCTGTATGGTGGCCTTCGCAGGTCAGGTTATCAAAGGTGTCCACAAACCCGGCCTCATGGAGAGGGCGAAGTCGTTGCCAGATTTGGACTCGATGCACTACTGTCGGAGAAGTGCCTGTGTGTTTTATCTATAGTGGTCAGAACGCATACACGGTGATCTTTAGAGGTCAGGCTGCTAAATGAGCACATATGTGAGGTCATAGCAAACTCGTGGTCGTTTTCAGATTTTGAAAGATACGTTTTGAAATTTTGCGTTTTTGAAAGGTGCGTTACCGTGGTTTTCACCGCTGTTTGCCTGGAGGCCTTATGGTAACCTTAAGATGTTATGTTGTCAATAGTGCATGTACTTGACGTTATGGAGAGAGTACTCTTTTCATATTTGATTTCCATATATTAATGACTGAATTTTTCGTTACTGCGTTTTCGGCGCGTCTGGATATGAATCCGGATACGAATATCTTGCTAACTACACGGACATGGCGTGCATAAATACGAATCCGAGCATGAATATCTTCCCAACTATACGGACATGGCGTGCATGAATATGAGTCCGAGTATGGATACCTTCCCAGCTATACGGACATGACGTGCATGAATATGAATCCGAGTATGAATACTTTCCCAACTATACGGAGATGGCGTGACACTCAAAACCAGACTCAGTTGGGTTTGCCTTTCAATGGCGTTCGGAGAGTCAAGCGCGGCTGGCACACAGGTGCACATCTTGATACGTTCATGCAGCAAAGCCGCACCTCTGGCGCACGCAAGGCAACTCAGTTATAATCAGCCCTGGCAAGTGTGCGTGTGCAGCGTCTCGCTGATTGACACTGCACGGAGCGGCAGACATGTTCGGCCCAGTGACTCAGCGCGGCTGACCGATCGGGACCCGTTTATTTATACACGGTGACCTCAACTGTGGTGCTGAGCGCTGTTGATTAGGACGCAGCGGCAGAATATTGGGGGCGGGCGCGGGCGAACGCACGAAAGACGATCACCAAGGCGGTCACTGCTCGCCCTCGCGGTCTTCGTGCCATTTGTCTGGGCAGCGAAGGAGCAGGCTGGGGCGGTCGGCCGCACCTGAAAGCCGCACCTGAGGCCGACCGACCTCTCTCGTGTTACGCCTCCCCAGACCCGTACGCTCGGCTCGCCCCTGCGGTCGAAGCCGGCTGCCAGCCGGCCGTGTGCCGCGGTGAGTCGGCGCGTTTTGAGTGGCGGTGTAGGACTGAGATACGACGCACTTGAGGCGCTGGCGGCGGGGCGTGCCGCCGCGCCGCCAGCCCCGCGCATTAGCGGCACCTGAGGCCAGACAGTGCAGAGTGCAGTCCGCCGAGGCCGGACAGTGCAGAGTGCAGTCCGCGACATCGATCGTCGCCCGCTACGCAGTGCTCGCAAAACCTAAGCGCCAGAGCCACGCCGGGGAGTGTAGTAAAGGTCGAGTGCAGGTGGGAGGCACGATCGGCCGGCGCTGAGCCACGCCATGAGCCTGCTGGCGGCTAAGCTGGGTGGCCTGATCGTGCTGCTGGGCTGCACGCTGCTGCTGGGTCTGCTGCCGTTCGCTCTGCAGCGCTGGCTGCAGCGGTACGGCGACGCCAGCGGCCAGGCGCGCGCCCAGCTCGGCCTGTCATGCATGCAATGCTTCGGCAGCGGCTTGCTGCTGGCCACCGTGTTCGCGCACCTGCTGCCCGAAGTGCGGGCCGGCCTGGCGGTGGTACAGCCCGACGACCAATTCCCGCTGGCCGAGGTGCTGCTCTGCGCTGGCTTCTTCAGCATCTACGCCATCGAGGAGCTGGTGGAACTAGCGCTGCAGCGCGGCGGCCGGCCGGCTCTGGCCGCCAACCTCGCACCGTCCGCCAAGCCAGGCTACGGCGCGCTGGAGTCGACGGCCGGCAGTGGCGGCGGCGGCAGCGGTGGCGGCAGCGGTGGTGGCAACGGTGGCGGCGGCGGCGGCGGCAGGCACGACCGCCTCAGCGGGCTGCGTGTGCTAGTGGTGACCGTGGCGCTGTCCGTGCACTCTGTGTTCGAAGGCATGGCCGTTGGCCTGGAGACGCGCGTCGCCAGCGTGTGGGTGCTGGTCACAGCCATCACCACGCACAAGTCCATCATCGCCTTCTGCCTGGGCGAGCAGCTGGCGGCGTCTGGCCAGCCGCTGCGCCGGGCGCTGGTCACGCTGCTGGTGTTCGTGCTGGCCTCGCCCACTGGCGTGCTGCTGGGCCTGCTGGCGACTGACGGCGGGAGCGGCGGCTCCGACGCCGTGCTGACGAACTTGCTGCAGGCGCTTGCCGCCGGATCGATCCTCTACGTCGTCGTGTTCGAGATTCTGCAGGGCGAGCGGGCCAAGCCAGGCAGCGGGCTGGCCAAGCTGGCCGCCGTCCTGCTCGGCTTCCTCGCCATGCTGCTGGTGACGACTTTGGTGTAGTCAGAAGCGCAGGCGGCGGCGACGGCTCCGGTGCCGGCCGCCTCCGGCAGGCGGCGCTAGGTGCGATCGGGGCCGGGGTGGCGCCCTTACGGCGGGCCCTGACACCGCGTCGCGCCGGCCGGCCTCCACTGCGCTCTGGTGGACAATCCGTCCCCCCCCCCCGCTCTGTGGACCATCGCCCCCCCCCCTGCTCTGGTGGACCACCGCCCCCCCTGCTCTGGTGGACTACCGCCCCCCCCCCCCCCTGCGTTAAAGCGCTCCCTCTGCGCCGGTACACTAAGACGCGAGCCCTACCAGAGCCGTGCGTACCGTGCGTTCCCTCAGTCATCAAGGGGCATTTAGTTGGCGGGTCGCAGTCGGGACAGTCGGGATTGTCGACCGGGAGTGTCATCCGTGTGGCGGCACCGCCCACCCAGGCGTCACACTACTCCCCATCCGTGTGGCGGCACCGCCCATCCAGGCGTCACACTACTCCCCATCCTTGTGGCGGCACCGCCCATCCAGGCGTCACACTACTCCCCATCCGTGTGGCGGCACCGCCCATCCAGGCGTCACACTACTCCCCATCCGTGTGGCGGCACCGCCCATCCAGGCGTCACACTACTCCCCATCCGTGTGGCGGCACCGCCCATCCAGGCGTCACACTACTCCCCATCCGTGTGGCGGCACCGCCCACCCAGGCGTCAAACTACTCCCCGTCCTTGTGGCGACACCGTCCACCCAGGCGTCACACTACTCCCCATCCGTGTGGCGGCACCGCCCACCCAGGCGTCACACTACCCCCCATCCGTGTAACGACACAGCCCGCCCTGGCGTCACACAACTCCCCGCTGAAGTACTACAGTGCGCACAACAGGGTGGCTCAGGGATAACAACAGGAAAAGGGCTTCCGACTTGCCGCTGCTTTGGAGCCTGCCTTCGTGGCTGCAGGTTCACGTAATCGGCACACAAACCTTACTCAAGCCCGAAGTGCGCACCTTCCGCTCTATGTCATTCCTTATGCTATCCCCATCCTTTCTCACATGCTACTCGCGGTCAATGATATTAGCGCCACGACAGGTGCAAAAATGAATGCTGGGTAAGTGAACACATCTTAATACAATGCACCGCAATGCATAACACTTGACCTGGCGATGCACTCGTTTCGTGTGGACAGCACAGTAAGAATCTGGGAGCATTAAAAGGGCGTCGTTTTTGCTTTGTTGCTTCTCGTTTGCCTCTGAGCAGTTACCATGGTCCCATGCAGCTGTATGGTCATCAGAACGGTTACCGTAGTCCCGTGCAGTCTTATGGTCATCAGGGCAGTTACCATGGTCCCATGCAGCTGCATGGTCACCGGAGCAGTTACCATGGTCCCATGCAGTCGTATGGTAATCAGTGCAGTTACCATGGTTCCATGCAATTGTGTGGTCACCGGAGCAGTTACCATGGTTCCACGCAGCTGCATGGTCACCGGAGCAGTTACCATGGTTCCACGCAGCTGCATGGTCACCGGAGCAGTTACCATGGTTCCACGCAGCTGCATGGTCACCGGAGCAGTTACCATGGTCCCATGCGGCCGCATGGTCACCGGAGCAGTTACCATGGTTCCACGCAGCTGCATGGTCACCGGAGCAGTTACCATGGTTCCACGCAGCTGCATGGTCACCGGAGCAGTTACCATGGTCCCATGCAGCCGCATGGTTACCGGAGCAGTTACCATGGTTCCACGCAGCTGCATGGTCACCGGAGCAGTTACCACGGTTCCACGCAGCTGCATGGTCACCGGAGCAGTTACCACGGTTCCACGCAGCTGCATGGTCACCGGAGCAGTTACCATGGTCCCATGCGGCTGCATGGTCACCGGAGCAGTCGCAGGGCCGCTAGGAATCAGCATGTATATTCTGCAGACGTCGTCGGCGATAGAGCCCGCATGCAAATGCCACGGTAGCTGAGAAGTTTGCCACAGTTAAGAGTTAACACGAGCTCGTCAATATGACGCCCCCAAAGGTTTTTCCAGAACGGTTACCGAACGGCGCGGCGCAGCCACGGCAAGTTTTGCATAGCCGTAGACAACTAAATAGCGCATGTGTCGCTGTCGGGTCGCATGGTGCCATGAATTTAGATGTACCTTGTATGGTCGCTGACCTACCGCAGGTCTAAATCAGGCCATGTATTCAGCGGAGTTAATTTCTGGGGAATCGTCCAATCTGATGCAACAACGGAGTGTTGGACAAAGCCATACATCTCTGAAATACTTTCTTAGGCAACACAATTCAATGAGCGAATTCCATTTACCTGGGATCAGGAATGAAGGTCAGACCCACGTCAAAAGCCATCCTGTTTATTGCCCTGGGCTTACTGTATGAGGTAATTTTTGGTGCTCATTTCAAACTTATTAAAAACAGGAACTGCAATATACGTCTTCTAGAAACTTCTTTCAGGTCAGAATAGACCACTGACCAAAAATGACCCAGATCAACATTGTTAGGAGCATTCTGCTCAGCGTAATCTTTGTCGCTTATTCAAATGGAAAACTCAAAGCAGTCCTGTATGATTTTGGTCATTATGACCTTCGAAAGGTCAACAGGGGTCACTGACCTCAGGTGAGCATGTGACATTTTGCTTAGAACAGGTGTCTAGGTTTTGGGGGATTCGTACACCGATCGGAGGTTTACCTTGTTTGGCCTTATTTGATCCGAACGTCATGACTTGGAAACCTCACCCTTTCATCAAAGTGAGTTCACGTGCAGGCCAACACACCCTGTGAATTTGGTGTCTCTAACTCTCTTAGTTTTCTGAGATCTCAGGGGGCCGAATTGACCCCCCACCGGAGTGAAGAGTATCCAACCGGCCACCCGGGCGCGTGTTAAATTTCACGGGTTCATTGCAAGCTGCAGGCCGCTGGGTGACTTGAGACCTCTCGAGGGACCTCTCTGGCGTGTGCCCGAGATCTTTGGCCTTGAATCTTTGAAGGCGTGCCGCGCTCACAGTTGCGTCTAACTCCGTCCGATTTTGTAGTGGTGTCGTGGGAATATCCCGCCCGATAGAGAAACTTGCATGCAAAAACCCGAGAACGTCTACGGCATGATTCTCAAAATGCTGAGTTTCTTGTTGCTGGAAACCGCGCGAACTTACGATCCGTGGATGCAGCACATTAGTTTCATTAATGCAACACATTAGCTTCACTTCATGCAGCACATTAGTGGAAGTCGTGACGACCGGCCCAGGCCGGGCCAGGCCACCGAATTCAGAAAGCTCTTCTTGACTCAAGCAAGTCTCGCTCGTCCTGCAGCCTCGCCCATCTTGGCATGTGGAGTTTGTCCTCTTAGAAGCAGAGTGCAGCTGATCTTCATCCCATCTCAGACATGGATGAGGGTGATCCGCGCACCAAAGCGGCGCAATAGGACACTTCCTGCGCTCGTATGTATGTATTTCCACCAGACAACTACACGACATATTTTTAAACACCAACATGCGCACAACACTGCCAGGTACCGCAGCATTGCAAAACCAACAACGACGCACATGGAGCCATGCGACGGCACGGCACGGCTGGAGCAAGGGGGCGCAGGGCAACAAAGGAGGCGGGCGGCGCGCGCCACGGCCAGCGCGAGTCCGAGAACACAGTGCAACATGTGACGAACCAAGTCAAGTGCGGCCGAAAACAGCAGCTGATCGGTGCCGGTGTGGTGTGGACGTGGTCCGAGCCTAGGCAGACTACACACATGGATTATCACTTCACCTTAAGTAGTACGTGCTGGGGATGAAGGTCGGGCGTGGCTTGCGTGACCTGGCAGACAGCCTGGGGCGTAGTGAGCTGACGCCCTCGCCTGCCCGAGCTGAAGCCTCGCCCGAGAAGCGGCGGGCTCTAGTGCAGCATTCGCCCGGTCACCTCAGCCGGAAGCGGCGGTCACAGCGAGCTGGACAGGGCTACGCTATTGACTTAATGCCACCTGCATGTTTTGGGTTACCATGAAAGTCGGTTTGTGCACTTCGTGTGATACTGAGCAGTGATTGCTGTGACCCACCCTGTACAGCGGCGGCCCAGTGTTTCGGGCGAGTACGTACGTTAAAGAAAGGCGCAGGAGAACAGGAGGGAAAGACGCGGGAGAACGAGAGGGAAAGACGCAGGAGAGCGGGAGGGAAAGACGCAGGAGAGCGGGAGGGAAAGACGCAGGAGAGCGGGAGGGAAAGACGCATGAGAGCGGGAGGGAAAGACACAGGAGAGCGGGAGGGAAAGACGCAGGAGAGCAGGAGGGAAAGACGCAGGAGAGCGGGAGGAAAAGATACCATTCGGATCGTCCACAGCCCGAGCCCGGCCGCCTCGGCAGACACCGTTCGTGCCAAGAAAAACAACGACTACTCTACAGCTCTGGGAGTGTGCGGGCGACAGCGTCAGGATATGCCGCGCAGCGCCCGGTGTCGGCCGGGCCGCAGAGGCGCGGACCGGCTCGGGCGCTCCGCCGGCTCGCTGGGACCGCCGGTGCGCCGGCGGCGGCGGCCTCTCGGCGCGGCTCCAGTATTGCACGCAGACGGGACACCAGACCTCGGCGCCCTTCACAGACGCTGCGGCTCCGCGTGACCCGCAGCGTCACGCTCCGTTGACGGCGTGGTCCGATCGGTGGGCCGGAGCCCGCGTTCCCGTCCGTGCCGCTCGGCCTGTCACTAACGCCCTCCGAGCGCACGCCGCTGGCGCGAGCCGTAACCGCGAAACACGAACATTAACCCGCGTGGCTATGTACAGACGGAGGCGGCGTCCGCCCCGTGCCGGCGCGGCCAGCAAGCGCGACACAACCATGGATAGAGTCTATCCGAACAGTAGCGCCATCTCGCGCCAGAGATCAACTTGTACACTGTTTGACAGCATTGCGCTTTGGTTTTCCATCACTTGTGTGCGTGTCTTCTCAATGCGTTCCATGAGAAAGGTTTGCATGAGCATGGATGCTTGTGTGTCCGTGTGTGCGTGTTGTATGTGGCGATACAGTGGGGCAGACACGGAACTCAGTATAACCAGAGAGAGGAGAGAGAGAGAGAAGAGAGAGAGGCGAGAGAGAGAGAGAGAGAGAGAGGGGGGGGGGGGGGGGGGGGTAAAGCCGGCAGAACAAAGTTGACAGAGACAGAGGAGCAGAGCAAAACGTGCGGAGACAAGTAGGAGGAACTCGGAGCCCGCGGCGGAGATGATGTGCAAGATAGTAGCTAAAGATGTACATGCTATGCATTACAGCGTGGCAGCAACGAAACGCGTCGGTGCGGTAAAAGGACGCCCAAGCACACGTAGTGAGGTGTGTTTTGAAGTCACCGCTCGCTACTAGACCAACGACGCACCGTTCAGCGGATAGTCTGGACCTTGTGTCTTGCAGACACACTCAGGTCAAGTGAAACATCGATGAGCCCGGCTCAGATCCCTGTGGGGCGGAGCGGCTGGGATGGAATCGCGGCGGAACAGCTCACTCGCGCTAAGACCTCAGTCGGTCATGTCCAGCTGGGCTGGTACCGCAATGAGACAGCTTATCTCGGCTTGCGCCGCGAAGGATTAGCTTAGGTGAGCTGGGATTCCGGCGAGCCGGTTTAATTGCCTGGAGCCGGTGACGTTGCCAAGAGGGCTATTGGGGTGATGTTGGGGCCTCCGTGGGACGGAAAGACCAAGTATATTTTGAGAGTTTAAGATGCCTGTAGAGCTTTTAAGGCGTGTTAACGGACCGTGAGCCATCATAATAGGGTCGCGAGCTTGAATATGTCCCCCATGAGAGAAACAACGTCCGTAAGCAGCAACAGGGGGACGGTTGGCTAGGAGGTCTTCCTATGACCTGACTGAGCCTCGCCTGGGGCTACACCACCGACGGGGACGGCAGGAGATCGTCTCAGCTGCGCCAGGGCCGCCGCGGATCAGCTTATTTGGGATGGGACCTCGGCTAGACCCGGCTCAGTTGGGCTGGGACCTCGGTCGGACCCGACTCAGTTGGGCTGGGACCTCGGTCGGACCCGACTCAGTTGGGCTGGGACGTTTGCAGGAAGCCGAGCGGCGCGCGCGGGTCGTGATGTAGTCGCAGACTCTCTTGCAGCCGAAGCGCCTCGCTCAGCTGGTCCCCTTGCAGCAGGCCGGCGCCGGCGCCGGGCCCGGGACCACCGGCTCCTTCTGGCCGCACCTCGTGCGACGAGCGCATGGCCAGGTCAGCCTGCAGGAAACGGAAGTCAGGCTGCACCATCATGGTCTCAGCCTGTGTGGTGAGCGAGCGCAGCACGTCCAGCGAGCGCGCGCTCTCCGCCTGCGAGCTGAGTGTTGACTTGACCAGCTCGGCCTGCGTCTGCTGGATCATTGCGCGCATGCTGTCGGTGGGCCGCTGCGGGGGCGGCGCCGACGAGGCCGGCGGCGCGTGCGACACCATCGGGTGGGTCATGCCCAGCCGGTTCAGCATGCCCAGCCGCTGCGCGCTTGCCGGCTCCATCCGCGGCGGCGGTGGCGGCGCATGGCTACCCGCCATCGGGTCAGCGCCGCGCTCCATCTCCATCCGGCCGCCGCTTGGCGGCAGCACCGGCGCGTGCTGCAGCATCGAGGTGGCGCCACCAACGCGCGGCTCCAGCTTGGCGTCGGCGGGCGTCGAGATGCGCGACGAGGAGTCCGAGTGCGCCGACGGAGACGCGGCCGACGCGGCCGTCGTCAGCGACGTACCGGCGCTCGTCATGGCCGTGCTACCCATGCCCATACTCGGCATCCCCGGGATCGACATGTTGGGGAACATGTGGCCATTCATGCCCATGCTCATGGAGGATGATGCGGCGGCGGCCGCTGCGGCAAGCAGAGTGTCGCGCTCTCGCCGCTCGGCGGCAGCACGAGAAAGGACGTACTGCGCGGCGAACTGGTGCTTGGGGTCCATCCGCATGTGGTCCATGTGAGTCAGGAACGCTGTGAACAGGACAGACACAGGTCATGAGAAGTCATGAATGACTCGCTCGTTGGCATTCATCAAATCAGCGCGCGTGCAACACAGACTGGGCATGCAGTGCCACGAAGTTCTATATTTCAAGCAATTTTGAGCTGCGCTGTCCAGAGGCTCAAATCGTGAAGCCTGGCAAGCAGCACAGAGGCTACTCTAGGTAGGAGCTATTATTAGAGGCTAGGCTGCTCTCCGTCCCTCACCCGACTCGTGTGTGAAGACAGCCTGGCAGACGGAGCAGGGCCACATGCGCAGGGGCGACGCCAGGCCTGCCGCCTCGGGGTGCGTGGTCATGTGCTTCCGCAGCGAGCCCTCGTTGACGTACTGCTTGCCGCATATCGGGCACGGGTGGTTGGGCGTCCTCCGTTTGGCTGAAACGGAACAGGAGGCGGGTCAGGTCAATTGCTGGGGGGCGCAGCCAGCACGGTGGCTGGCATGAATCGGCCCGATACAGCTACCCGTCCTCGTGCATTGGCCGGCAATGTTTGGCATAGCACTGCTCCTCAGTCTCGCTGCTGCATGCGCAGTGTTATCAGAATAAATGACACCACATGAAATACGTGTGGGCAGGCGCGCTGAAGCCCCCGTTACCTATGTTCGTAGACATTTTTGTCAGTTTCTAGAATGTTTTGCAATCTACGGCAATCTCTGAACCACAAGAGAGCGGAAGGGGTTGTGGCGAGACAAGTGCTGCAATTGGCCAATGCAATGCTAAAAACGCAAACATCTGCGGTCCTTCTCAGGCAAGCTATTGCACTGAAACACCAGCTAAGTAGGCTAGTAGTGGATTAAGCTTGTTATGAACTGCTTGCGTGAGCAACAGTCGACGAACAACTGCAGGCCACTTCGACGTAATGTTGGTCTTTGACGTCTTTGAAGAGGGCGTCGCCGTGTTCCGCGACAGACACTCTCTGCGCGCCCTTCTGACGCTCAGTGCACACCAGCCCGCCTGGTGGCTGAGCCCGAGGCTGGGCGGGAGCGGGCAGTGCTAAGCAGTGCCGGGGGCGCGTGCTCGGGGGGGGGGCGCCGGATGTATTACGGGGCCGAGGACGTCTCACACGTCCGCTCGGGGTACAGGCGCAGCGCCGAAGGAGACGTCTCGCTAACGAAGCTGGCGGCAAACCAGTGACCGGGCGAAGTCACCGTCAATGTACTGCACAGCGCAAGACTGTCGATTTTTTCATGTCGTATGTGGTAAGGGCATGGCCTTCCATGGCAGGCTTAGGGTTCAGAAGAAGATGTAGAGACCTGTCCGCAATGGTGAGATGCCGGGCGACCACTGGGAACGCTAGGCCTCCGCGGTGGAGCGACCGTCTAATTGTGGCCTATCCCCATGTGAGGTGTCTGCGGCTGGTGTAAGCCAGCTTTGACCCCGCGCGATGCGCGAAACATAGCTTATGACCGCTCACGGAAGCGCACGAGCGTAACGTCACAAGCTCTTCTTCCAAACGTGACCGGTTCGTCCCGGTGTTGGTTGCGGCTGAGGTATGCGCGCCTCGCCGATGACCTCCCCCCTCCCCCCCTCCTCCCCCATGATCGGTCCCTCAGACTGAGCAGATGGCTCTCTCTCTCTCTCCCTCTCTCTCTCTCTCTCTCTCTCTCTCTCTCTCTCTCTCTCTCTCTCTCTCTCTCTCTATCTCTCTCTCTCTCTCATCTCTCTCTCTCTCTCTCTCTCTCATCTCAGACTGAGCAGCTCTCTCAGCTCTGAGTGTGTCGGCCGAGCGCGGCTGCGCTGCGGCCCGACCCTCAGCGCGGCCCGTGCCCCGGTGGTGCGTGGCTCCGTGCCGAACCGCTCTCGAGCCCAGCCGCGTATCCGGCGAGCGAGCGGGCTCGGGAAGGCTAGGGCGGTCCCACACCGACGGCGAGGGCACTGAGCCGCTGCCGCCCGGCGGGCTCGGGCGGGCCCGCACCGGCGGCGACGGCACTGAGCCGCTACCGCCCGGCGGGCTCGGGCGGGCCCGCACCGGCGGCGACGGCACTGAGCCGCTACCGCCCGGCGGGCTCGGGCGGGCCCGCTCCGGCGGCGAGGGCGCTGAGCCGCTGCCGCCCGGCGGGCTCGGGCGGGCCCGCTCCGGCGGCGACGGCGCTGAGCCGCTACCGCCCGGCGGGCTCGGGCGGGCCCGCACCGGCGGCGAGGGCGCTGAGCCGCTACCGCCCGGCGGGCTCGGGCGGGCCCGCTCCGGCGGCGAGGGCGCTGAGCCGCTACCGCCCGGCGGCCGCCGCCTCCGCCTCAGATCTGTCAGACGCCAGGCCTGCCGGACTACCGCAGGGCCAGCCCGGTGGCGGCCGCGGCTCGGCGGTCTCTGCCGGCGGCACCGCAAAAGACGGTCCCGACGCGTCGCCGAGTGACGGCGTGCAGCGCAACATGCCGCCCATTTGGCGCTCAGGGACGGGGAGACAGGCAGGAAGCGGGCAGTTGTTCACGTGTGATGGTAACCGGAGAAGCATAGCAGCAGAGGAGCTGATACGTACATACCGTATAACGCTGCTGTATGCATACGTTGCTACCGATTTGATTATTTCCTTTGCATGTGGAAATGTTAAATCCAATGCCCGGAGGACTGCTGAAAATGGCGCGATGGGTTGAAGTGTGGTTTGGCTGGTGTAGCAGCAGTTACACAGAATTTCATAGGACTGAGCCAAATTTTTGCAACTTTGTCATTGCACGCTGCCCATTCCATTCCGCAGCTTTTGCCACGGAAACGAGTCGCCCAGCACTTATCTCTCTTCCGTGGTATATCTATCTGTCTATACCATTCTGCGAACATTTCATCCGATTTGGTCAGCAATAAAGACAGTGTGTTGAATTGAAAATTTGACTAAAACCAGGCCTGTATGAAACAGGGAATGAAAGAGCAGTTCACTTCACTTTGACAAAAACTCGGGTTAATGTTCTGCTGACCGGCGAGGTGCCGTTCCCCAGCTCAGGCAGATGTCACAGGCCAAGCCCTGGTGCATGGGCGGGAAGACGAAGCGCTGCCAGAGGGCCCACTGATCAGCGGTTCGCAAAAACCCCACCCACTCAGTACCCTGCAGCTAGCCCAGGTCAACAGAGAGCCCGCCAACAACGGATCTCCGTGCTCCCGCGGAGGAACCGTGCCGTCATTGCCCACCAGGGACGGGCTCTGCTGTCCGTGCATTGTAATAAGTGTTACTATAATGAGTGTCGTCTTAATATTTAGCACATAGCTCTTTACATGCAATGCCTGTGGATACTGGCTGCGCATTGTTCGGGAGAATGTCATGTTTTGGGGTATGCAATGTTGGGCGGCATACAATATGTTTTGTGCACGCATGTTTGAGCTGTGCATGTGGAGTGCAAGCGCCGCAGTGGAACGCTACAACCTTTCGTTCCCAGTCTGTCTCGGCCTTGCAGTCGAGCGGCGACTCCGCTCGGTGAGAAGGTGACCCTCCACTCCCTGCCGTGGGAGCCAACGGTCAGGTCCGCCCCCAGCGCCGGGAACATTCCCGGGAACAGGATTAGCGCCTCCGAAATATCGGCGCCGCGGTCATGTTTCACTCAGCAGCATCTCGCTGGGTTTATGCCGGTAATCCGCCGCCTGCCTGGTCCGGTACCGACCGCCGCGTCGGCCGGCTGCGGAACGTGACGTCATTGGGGCGGCCGGCGCTGGCGCGGGCGCGCCGCCGACCGGCAGTGCCCCGGCCTCTGCCCCGGCTCCCGTCGCGGTACCCGAGTGGCCGAACAGCGCCGCGGACACGCTGCCGAGCGTGCTTCCGTTGATGGACGAGGCCGCTTGTGGATGGCTGTAACACGGAACCTTCTCCGATTCCTTGATAATAGTCCGATCGCTCTGCATGCAACCGGTGCAGCTACGGCCAAACGCGGTTGGCTCGAAGGTGCGAAGTCAACGACGGAGTTTTCAGCAAGCCGCGGTTGGATCGATGGCTGAGGAGGTACCAGGCAGGACTGCCTGGTAGCTCCGGGTGCATTCCTGTTCGTGTATCGGGTTCGTGCTCGCATGCGTGTTCGTGTATCGGGTTCGTGCCCACGCGCGTGTTCGTGTATCGGGTTCGTGCCCACATGCGTGTGTGACATGTGTTACGCAGCGCGTATTACGTCAGCGTTTTGTGTGTTTTTTGAGTTATCTATGAATCATTGCCTTAGCAGCACAACGGTGGACTGCGAGAACCAAGAGTCACTTGTAGATGCCGAGTGTGCAGACATACGTCTGCTGTCGGCTGTCCTCACCTGCTACGCCCGAGGCGTTCGGGTCCTTGTGCACGTGCTTCATGTGCTCCATGAGTGCTGCGCCGCCCAGATACATCTTGTGGCACATGGGGCAGTTGACGGCGTTCGGACCACCGATCAGCGCCGCGTGCTGAAACAGAGGTCCGTCGCCCCAGGTGAAACAGAGGTCCGCCGCCAGGTGAAGCAGAGGTCCGCCGCCAGGTGAAACAGGGGTCAGCCGCCTGGTGAAACAGAGGTCCGCCGCCAGGTGAAACAGAGGTACGCCGCCAGGTGAAACAGAGGTACGCCGCCAAGTGAAACAGAGGTCAGCCGCCAGGTGAAACAGAGGTCCGGCGCCAGATGAAACAGAGGTCCGTTGTCAGGAGATGTAGAGGTCAGCCGCCAGGTGAAACAGAGGTCCGTCGCCAGATGAAACAGAGGTCCGCCGCCAGATGAAACAGAGGTCCGTTGTCAGGAGATACAAAAGTCAGCCGCCAGGTGAAACAGAGGTCAGCCGCCAAGTGAAACAGAGGTCCGCCGCTAGGTGAAACAAAGGTCCGCCACCAGGTAAACCAGAGGTCCGGTGTCAGGAGATACAGAGGTCAGCCGCCAAGTAAAACAGAGGTCTGGCATCAGGAGATACAGAGGTCCGCCGCCAGGTGAAATAGAGGTTCGGTGTCAGGAGATACAGAGGTCCGGTGTCAGGTGAAACAGAGGTCCGATGTCAGGTAAAACAAGGGTCCGCTGCCAGGTCGTATGCGGCCAACAAACGCTAGGTTGGGTAAGGCAAAGTACATTATTGCACTTGAGAAGGTGTTAGCGGACGAAATCTATTATCCGAGATAATGCAGGGTGCGAGCCTAAACTTACGCAGCTGCTGATCAACGATTAAGGTGCATTCGTAGACCGTATTTTGCCGTAAATGAGTGTAGGACGAAGCCACACATCTCTGCTTTTCGAGCTTCGTAAGCACTAAAACAGTTGTAATTCAGATGACAATAAATTCCATTGACCTATGGTCTGGTATAAAGGTCATGCCGAGGTCAAAACCAACTTTGCGGTATTTGCTGTGTGCTCAGAGGGGGAGGGGAGGGGGGGGGGGTGTCGCATTGCCTACCCTGCATCCTCCTGTCAGGGCGAGTAAATTGTTTATAAAGAGCTATCCGCCTGATGTGAAGCTTTTGACAAATGTCGATGCAATTTGCTGGTTGGGGCACGGCGAAAGGCGCCCACCAGTCAAAACATGCCGCGCCGGACTTGAAGCATGCCTAAGGTGTGGTGGATAGTTTGGTTACAGTTGAGATGGGGCTCGAAGCGCAAACGTGGCTTTCATTAAAGGGCATGGCCTCGTAGAGGCCCCAATATTTAACGTCATTCCCAGTGCCGCTTGCTACTGGCTCGAAATCTGCCATGCATTCTGCTGCCCTGGTTTTCGAGGTCCTTCGTTGTTGTTTTTTTTGCGGTCGAGGAAAGCAAATCCAGCCGTAGATCGAGCTTAAAGGTGAGGCCCCGGCAAGTCCTGAGAGTGGAAGAAAACTCCTGTTGTGATTGGGCTATCTCACTAGCCTACGGCAGGTGTGCCTGCTTTCCTAGCAGCAGCACTCAGTCTGACATTTGTTCAAGGGCAGCGTATAACTGGCCGTTTCGGTTATTTGCATGGCGTTGAAAATTGCAGTGATGAAAGGGACTATCGGTGATAGGCTGATTACTGATGTTACTGGGTTTGGACTTAATGACCATTTTGTGATACGGTATCGCATTACGCTACTGACGACAATTTTTCCTCCAAAAATTTGATAGGCAACAAAAATTACACTTTTACCACCCCTGGTTCTGACCCCACTCCCCCCCCCCCCCTCTTCCACCTGAGCGAAGGGTATTCAACCGGCCCACCGGGCGCGTATTAAGAGATGACAAGATGTCATAGCAAATAAGATCGCTTTCCTTCCGTTCCTCAGTTTGCTCTCCCGAAAGTTCACGAATCTCTTCTATTTGACACAGAGATCCAATCTCCGCTCCCCACTGCACAATCTTTTGTAATTTTCCGCTTCACGGCGGGTTTTTATCGTTCGCATAAATTAATAGTTCATCTTGGGCGGGACTTTTCGCATAAGTGAGCCCGTACTGCGATTAGTTTACCCCATGAGGCGTCCATCTAGTCTGCAGGCCCGTCTGGGAAGACTATCGTGTTACCGAAGGTGGAGCTGATGACTGCCGGGCACGTTTCTCGTAAAAAGTGCAAAATAAACAATACATATGAACAAAAACTGGATGGACTCAAGCGGGACGAAACCTCGCATCGAGTAAATCAACCGAAAACCTCGGCCTTTTTGCGGATGACCACGGCAAAACTGCACGTTTTTTGTCGCGCTGGAGTTGGCTGCGCTCGGCTGCGCAGCTGCCATCTGTAGACATCGATGCGCGATTAGCTGGCAGCTATGCGGCGACAAAAACAAGCATGACGAGAGGGCGCCGAACAGCCGGCAGCACCGCGGGCCAAAGGACGTCTGCTCTGAGGCACACAGCGCCCGCGCGGGACAGGGACCGGGCGGGTCATGACTCGCACATTTGTCGTGAAACTTAACCCTGCGGTGATGCATCGGAAGAATTGACTTGAAAGGGCCCGCAAGGGTCTCATGATCGGGTTGGGTTACCGTGATCTGTTCGGTTTCACTGCCAATGTCTGGTTGTGGAAGTGCCTGTTTTAAAGGGACGTCCAAATCCCATTTGTCCGCCCGACTACGGGGGCGCGGCCATCACGGTCTGATGAGCTGGGCCTCGCCCCGGTCGCGTCGCCCGGCGCCCGCCCCGGTCGGCCGGCGGCCGGCTGGCGGCGGGCTGGCGGGCCGCGCCGCCGCGCCGGTCCGGAGCGAGCGCTGGGGTCGGCCGGGATGGCCTCTGACGCCCGCCAGCAGGGACGCTGGGACGCCTGCTGCTCGGGGTCGAGGGCTGGGGTCGGCCGGGATAGTGTCCGACGCCCGCCAGCAGGGACGCGCGCACGCATCCGCGGACAGGCCTCTGGGACGCAGCCGAGGCAGGGCCTCTTCTAGAGGGCTCCGCCCAACAATTCCTAGCGTGCGTGAGTATGTGCTCCCGTGGCCCAGTCAGCGCATCCGAGTCGCGCTGCAGCTGCCCTAGTCTCGGCACCATCTGTGTGCGAGAATGTCGTGATCAACAGACGTGTGTCGTGGCCTATTAGCTTGAAGGTTTACAAGTGCGGTATTTATCCACAACCGAGATAACATCGAAGATTGGTTCAATAAGCCACACAGTAGTACCTATCTAACCAACAGAAGATCAGCGCGCATTCGTCAGATTAAAGCTACATATGTATCTCACCCTCGTCGATTATTTTCATCGTATTGCGCGGCGGCCTTTACTGGACGCGGACGTGGCGAGGGCGGCGAGCGACCGGGCGCAACTAGCGCCGACTGCCAGCCTGCATTCGAGGGCTTTACATCATTCAGATGCCAATTTTACCGAAGTTATAATTGGGTGGGGGTGAAATGAAACGATTTGATTTACGGCGCTCATTAAATGGTCTGACAACCGATCGACAAAGGTGGAACACGAAAGTACTATTACCACGAGGGTTAATGATCACAAGTCCTCCATCTCGGGCCAAATTAGCGATACTTGCAAAGCGGCTATAAACCGATTCGTGTTTCTTCCAGCGGTTACGTTCCCCATCACAAGGCGTGTTTAACTGGGAATGAGCACCGCGATTTCTGTAACGCTCGTCGCAGCTGTTGTCTTGTGCGGCTACTGAGATTGCAGGTCCCCTGACGTCAGGCCACCGAACCACCAATCAGCGCGCCCTCCTTCCGACCCCTAACCTCCTGCGCCAGCTGTCCAGCGAAGATGTGTTCTGTCCTGTGGCCTCTTAGGAAGCATGCCCCTTCTCCTCCCCTCCTCCCCCCCCTCTCCCCGAGGATGACATTCGGGCCCGCTGCACGTGTATGTGTGTGTGCGGAGCTGGCTGTGTGCTTGTATGCCTGTTTCGTGCAGATGATTTCGTGCATAGAATGTTTCAGTTTGCGGTCTTACTTCGGGAGTCTGCTGAGGCAGTCGTCATCGGCATATTCAGAGAGCTGTAAGGCAGCCCTGACACTGGAGACGGGACCCAAAGGGGCTGAACTGAAAGTGACCTGATCGCCACAAAATGAAGCTATTGTGCTAGGAGAATGGAGGGAGCCGTCCAAGTGCATCCTTTGAAAAGGCAACACATCTTTTTTAAAGATTTTATCCGAGCTTTTTGAAGGGATAGATTTCTGGGGCCAGAGCTCACGCTTAACAGTTTTCGGACCGTGTCGCGATGGGGTTCAGTCTTCCAGAAAAGTACCCAAACCCTCGGACATATCTTCGCAATGTCAGATGCCGTGACCTGTGTCAGACGCTGGTCATGCTTGCTGGCGCCGTGCACATATTCGGTTTTCAGGGCACCAGCCTCGGTACCGTACTTACACAGGCCACTGCCTATGGCGGTGTGAGCGCAGAAGCCGCTGAGCGCAATGGCCAGCGTTCGTGACCATCAACCTGGGCGATGTGCATGCACAGGGGCGCATGCGCCACTGGTCCAGATCACTGTACATATGCGTGCAGGTCACTGACCTTGGTGGTGTGCGTGCGCAGGCTGCTCTCAGTGGCGAAGCCCTTGCCGCAGATCTGGCAGTGGAAGGGCCGGTTCTTCATGCGCTCGATCTGCGTGTCGTGGTTCCGCAGGTGCTGCTGCAGGTTCGACAGCTGGATGAAGGCGCGGCCGCACTCGGCGTAGTGACACTTGTAGGGCCGCTCGCCTGCAGGGGAGGGAAATTCAGGTCAGGTCAGGTCAGGTCAAGCGTGTCTAATCCCACCGTCGGTCGGCGAGCTCGCAACCTCGACCCAGGTGGGACGAGTCGCACCCTTGGAGCACCCGTGCGTTTGATCAGACTGGGGCTGCGACAGCAGTCAGTTTATCTGAGCGGGCGGCTTGGTCGTCTGAGTGGGCAGCTTGGTCATCTGAGACGACAGCCAGCTCGTCTGAGACGGCAGCCAGCTTGTCTGAGACGGCAGCCAGCTTGTCTGAGACGGCAGCCAGCTCGTTTGCGACGGCAGCCAGCTTGTCTGAGACGGCAGCCAGCTCGTTTGCGACGGCAACCAGCTCGCTTGCGACGGCAGCCAACTTGTCTGAGATGGCAGCCAGCCCGTCTGAGACGGCAGCCAGCTCGTCTGAGACGGCAGCCCGCCCGCCTGAGCGGGTAGCCAGCCCGTCTGAGACGGCAGGCTGATCGCCGACGCGGCCGACACGCTCGTCCGAGAGCAGTGAAGCTGGGCAGAAGGGGTCTGGCGCCGGCGTCACCCGCACGCCGTGTGTGGAGCCCGGCTGTTTGTAGGGTCGGCCTGCGACACGCGCTGGATCGCTACCGCGTCGTGCTGTCTGGGACGGCGCTGAGCCCCTCCGCCCCCCCCCCTTCGGCGCGCTGGGTAGTCGCAACAGGAATTTGCAGCGCATGTAAGGTTTTGAGGCGCAGATTACGACTCGTTCAAACTGTGTCTGGCGTCTGACAATTTTGCCAGGCTTAGACCGAGTGTAAAAATGGTTACGACTTGGTAACTAATCCCGACATCAAACAATGTCCGTCGACCTGATCCCATACCAGTCTTGTTCGAATCTCATCGTGCTCGCGGCCAAATGTTATCCCTGTTCCAACTTTTCAGAAACTTTGGCCGGCGGGATTTTCAAAGAAGCCGTTTAATTATCTGCAAGCTCTTTGAACTGTTCCAGGGATATAGTCCAAGCATGATCCTGGCAGCACCCGGGCCGCACCCCAGGTCACCTGGTGCCAGCGGATGCGCCTGCTGGCGAAGAATCGGGCTTCCTTACTATTGCCGTGGAAACGGTTAGAATGCTAGTAACAGAGGGCCGTCGGAGCATATTGATGTGTTCTACCAGCACGAGAGCCTGTTTCTAGCACAGCTGTCCCTTTTCTAGCCCATACGCCGCCACTACGTACCGCCGTCTGGGCGCATACCTTGTAGCAGCGATTACAGCTGTCACCCACAACTGGTTTGTTCCCACCGCCGCGCCGCAGCGACTAAAATACTCCAGGCGCACCTGTTTCTACGATAGGATGCACACTGTGCACATCTGCCAAACAAGAAGCCAGCTCAGCGTAACGGACCAGACCGCAGACTTTTCCTGTTTAAGATAGTTTTAGTGTTCAGTGATGCTCAGGCTGCACCGCGCCTTGTTCTCGTGGAGCGAGCGGCAAATCAGCCCCTCAACTGACATGCTTGCTGTCCGAACAAACCGCATGTCAACTCTTGCTCCACCATCCCGACGCTGTTCGCTGCATGTGGTCGGCTGCTCGTGCACCCGGTGTGCTCGTCCGATGGCTCGAGCTCATTGGTGGTCCCCGCGTGGTGCGGTCGGCCGGACGGCCGCCAATCCAGCGTCCTCCTGTCGCCGTCCCGTAAACAGCGGTCGGGCGCCGGCATACCGCGGTAATCGGGCGGCGGCGGCGCCGGGCGGCCGCCGCGCCGTGCCCGATCGGCGAGTGACGGCCGACGCGGTTGACGCTCGCCGACGCGTCTGTCGCGCTGACCGCTCCGGGGGCGGGCGAGCCGCGGCCCCGCGCCCGGGAAAATGGGGAAAAATGCGCCCAGTGGCGGCTCGGCGGGCCCCGCCGGCCAATGGGCGGGGGCGGATGTCAGTCACGGCGGCAGCGGGAGGGCCCTCCGGGATGGGTCCCAATGGGTGGCGTCCTGCGTGGAACTCGGCTGCAGTCGCAACAGCGATGACAGGTGTCAGGGATCACCAATGTCTCAAGACATTCATCGGCCAACGCCGGCGCCAAGACAATGATGCTCGGCAATATACAATGTCATTTACGTCCATAACAATGAGGAGTTCCCTTATTTGTGTGTCAACAAATAATTTGTGAGCGAAGCCGAGTGTGTGGAAGTTGCGCTATATGCTCTTAACACACGACTAAATCTGCAAGTCGTGGCTTTAAGACGGGGATTTGAGGGTACCTCCAAATGTGACAGCACTGATCCCTGTTCGCGTCTCGAGGCCGGCTGTCGTCCCGTTCAGCGCGGTACTCCGGGAGGGGTGCGTTGCAGCTCCCACTGTACAGGCTCGATAGCACAAAGAGAGTGTTTTTGTTCCAGGCGAGCCGATCGTGGAATGTCCTTCCCTGTGCTCCTCCAATGATTCATTTTACGTTTGCAAGCCGCTCATGTTAGCAAACTGTACGGCTGAGTTATAGGTCATACCTGGTATCGATAGGTGGTATCGATTATGACGACTGACCGTGGCGTGACCAACAAATGGTTTTATCGATTTCATTGTCTTCATTGCGTTTTTTGTGTCATCCTTTTTGCCTCAAGTATGACGAGACGACTTGGGAACGCCTTTGTATAGAAGGCTACTAACAAAATGCATGATGCATACCTACATGTTGTGGGGCGTCGTGAGGTGGTAAGGAAATGACGTCATAATTATTATTGTCTGCTGTTTCCCTCGCACCAATCGTCCAGGCGATTGGATCCACGCGGTTTGGAGTCAGTCGGATCTGGGCAAGGGAAGAGGCGTCACAAAATACCGAGTCATCGTACCGCGGCGTTATCTACGAAGTCAACGATACGTCTTTCATCACACATACAATTGAGAAGTTTTCCAATATGAAAAATTGATGGTATTTTGTGCAATAGCCTCACGTAAGGTCAGATGAACAGCATACTATGATGCAAAATCGGGCATGCTTCCGTCGTTCCGCGCATGATTGGCCCGACACCATATTTTGCAATGATTTGGCGGGACTTTTCGGTGAATACATAAGAAAGGTCTATCTGACAATAGTCCTCCTTTTCATCAGAACGTGTAAGCGTGGCACCTTCCTCCAGCTCGCCTGATTCCGCTCTTATTCACCAGCAATTCGCAGTTCGCTTTGACCTTATCAGTGTGTAGATTGCCCAAGTCATCACCTTCCTTTGATTTCATCCGTCAATCCGGAGTGAAAACACGTGATATGGCAGCAGCGTTCCTGCACCCTGTGAGGCGTTCTTTTCTGCTGCAGCAACCAGTTTACGGAATTCTGCCGCCATTTGGCTGCGCTTGTGAAAAGCAGGACACCATTGGCGGGTCTAGAATGGATGCATGATGACGTCACAAATCAAAGCTGGCTTGTCGAATCGTTGTTGAAAAATGCCGACCAGAGACGTGGTTTTTCCAACTGTCAGGCCGCAGCCCGTTCCTTCCTTAATCTTATACCTATAAATGAAGTGTGCATGAAACGTCATGCCGGTGCCATCTAAGGCAAAACCTTGTCTGGCTAACATCAGCGGTGCTGCTCAGGCAGCGGTGATTAAACTACATACAATATGAAAATGTCAAGTGCGCCATAGTTGACCAAAATAACACTGTGATGCCAGTCTCCTGCCACAAATAAGGAGAGGGTGGAATCTTTAATGGCTCATCGCCAGAATATATCACCAGGTACAAGGAATTTCATCCTTGTATCTCACCTCATCTCACTCACGTGTTCAGCAGGACACTAAAATTTTTGTATGGTTTTAAAACTTAGTGAATGGCAAAAGTGTACTGTTTTGCTTATTAAGACTTTGACCCGCGAAAGTCGGCCAAGTATGGCCTATAACTAGGCCAAAAGCCCGCGGGTTCTTGCGGGTTGAAAAGTTGCGTCTCTTATGCCAGCCTAGCACGCGGTGATTTCGCGACGGCACCAACGGTTACTGCGAAGCAACTCTCGCTACCCCGTCATTATTAAATCAGCTGATCCGTCCTCTCCTCTTCCATTAATTTTTTGTCCGTCTTTTTGTTTCTTTTAATCTTTTTAGATCCCAGCGGCAGGACGAAAAAATCCTCCTGTTCTGAATGCAAGTGGCAATAAATTATACGAAATCGTACCTTTTGTTTTTGGCCTGCCTATGGGAAAAGGAGGGGCTAGTTTGCATGGGAAAACCATTTATCGTGCGCGTGATTTGCATAGTCTTGTGCTGGGAGGCAGCTGGCGGCTGTGGCGGCCCGGATCCAGTGGTAAGTGGAGGCTGGTCGGCGGGCGGGCCGGCCGGCCGCGGCGCCAGCCGGCCACAGGCCCGACCCGTGGGCGTGTGCTGACAGATCGGCGCTGGACCGTCCTGCTGACAGACAGGTCCCGTGCAGATAGCACCGCATTGGGCCCCGGCAACACGCACGGTCGCCGAATCACGCATGCTGGCGCCATAACCAGCTCCATGTGGCGCGGGTCGGATGCGTAGTCATTCGTCGGCGGCGTTATCAAATGTTAACGATCGAATCTGCGGTAGTGGGAAGCCTTCCACTGTAGGCATGAATAAAATCACACTCTTGGTGGTTTGCAGAGAGCAATTTGTTGATCACCTTGGGTCAGTGTCATCTGTGATGCCGGAAAATGCGGACAAAGGGAGGACATTTGGTGTTGCCAAGGTCGAAGCAACCTTAGGCGGAGTGTTGCGTGCTTTGAACCAAAGCTCATCACAGTTTGGAACAGAAGCACGTAAATCGCTAACTATCGCATGACTCAGAAATCGCTTGGCGTCCACGCGTTTGCAGCACGTTTGGAACACGATGAAGTGCTTGCAAACAGAGAGAGAATGTACGCGTTCCTGCAAGACTGAATGACTGGTTGAACCAGTTGGTGTCTGTCTGCGCTGCATGATCTCTTCTGCAGATAGAGGTAACAAGCCCAATAATCATCAAAACTCTCTTATGCTTGAAACTGTTAACATAGATAAAAATAGCGCATGCCGGTAAAAACCAATAAAGTTAGTTCATTAG